ATTTTCGTAACACACCGTGTCCGCATTACAGTAAAAGAAGATCTACATACATTCTGTAAAGGAAAATGATTTTTGAGATTTGTGCGTAGTTTTAAATTTACATTTCCATGTTTTACGGAGTATTTGTTCTCACACATAACTTCTTAACGTAGGTAAAAGTCGCTGTCCCCTTCTAAACAATATCATGATAAATACGATTGAGAAAAAAAAAACCAGAACAATTTGAAGTCGTCGTGGCCTAAAGGATAAGACGTCCGGTGCATTCGTATCTAGCGATGCAACGGTGTTCGAATCTCGCAGGCGGGTACCAATTTTTCTAATGAAATACGTACTTAACAATTGTTCACGATTGACTTCCGCGGTGAAGGAATAACATCGTGTAATAAAAATCAAACCCACAAAATTATAATTTGCGTAATTACTGGTGGTAGGACTTCTTGTGATTCCGCACGGGTAGGTACCACCGCCCCGTTTATTTCTGCCGTGAAGCAGTAATGCGTTTCGGTTTGAAGGGTGGGGCAGTCGTTGTAACTATACTGAGACCTTAGAACTTATATCTCAAGGTGTGTGGCGCATTTACATTGTAGATGTCTATGGGTTCCAGTAACCACTTGACACCAGGTGGGCTGTGAGCTCGTCCAATTATCTAGGCAATAAAAAAATAAAAAAAACGTTTGTTTTCCTACTGATAGCCGTGAGAGGCTATTTCAGCGGAACCTTAACTAGTAGGTGAGCTCACAGGGCTCAAACCTGACGACGTTGCTAACACGAACCCTAGCAAGAGCCGTGCTTCGCAGAATCTACCACCGGATCGGAAACGCGACCCACTGAGAAGATCCGGCGAGAAACTCAGTGGGCTGTGTCTGAGGGTTTATTTACTCGTCGAGCCCTTCGTCGCAAGCGACGGGTTCGACGAGAACGGTGACCTCACAGAACAATCGTACACATGACTCCTTTTATAGAAGATAAATGATTAAACATTGCAGTTAAAACAAATTTCTCTTCACTCACATATTTATTAAACGCCGTCTGTACGTCGTTAGTGAAGTAAACGTAACCGAGAGAAGACATGTGTAACATCTAACAGCGATTCATAATACGTAAACATTAAAGCCCTTTTAGCAGACCACTCATTACAATCTGTGCATATCATATCGATGTTCATCACATGATCTCGCGCATGTGTGAATCGAAATTATATTAATTACAAACATAACAGCTTTTCGTTTATATTATTAACACTACCCGTTGCCGGTGGCTTCGCTCGCGTGGTCAAGTGTCAGTGCACTCTCCCGTGCGAACTAGATTTTTTTTTGTTATTTTTGTTATTTCTTAGGTGGGTGAACGAGCCCACCTGATGTAAGGTCGTTACCGGATCCCATAGACATGTACAAAGTAAATGCTGCCACCTACCTTGAGACATGAATTTTAAGGTTTCAGTTTTTAAAGTACAAACAGCTGTCCCACCCTTCAAACCGAAACGCATTACTGTTTTACAGTAAAAATAGGTGGGGTGGTGGTAACCTACCCGTGCGGACTCACAAGACGTCCTACCACCGGTAAATATTTTTATGGGGATAAAAGGTAGGCTATTTCACTCCCCTGACTGAATGCTATCACGTTAAAAAAAACAGGTCAATCCGTATCTTCATTTCGACGTGGAAAAAACAAACAAACACACTTTCCCATTTAGAGTATTAGTACGGATAAGTATAAGTATGGATAATTTTTATACTTTGTCGCTACTTGACAGAGTCGTCTTTTTCTTCTGTCTTCTACCTAACCGCATGGTCTTGAGAGACCATTTCAGCGTAGCCGTAACAAGTAGGTGAGCTCACAGGGCTCAAATCTGACGTCGTTGCTAGTGATCGTCATGTAGTATTGGGTTGGATGCACCTAATGATGCCCTATCATCTTTCCATAATTAATATAATGAACACATTTGTATATATAAAAAAATATAATCAACAAACCTAATCCGCTACAGACAAGTCATTAATGGCATAATAAAAACTATAATAAGGACAATTGTAGTAATCGACTAGTCTAAAGTAGTTCGAATTATATATGATCATTTGTTTCCTTTAATTTTTATATTACTTGCTTCTTTCATTGATGATCTCGTGGCCTAAGGCATAAGAAGCTATATATCCTCGTATCGAGCGATGCGACTAAGCCGGTGATAAAATGTCGCACACATGTAGAGGTACTAAGGTTTTTACCGAAATATGTTCACGAATGACCATGATAAAGGAATAGCATCGTGGAATAAAAATGGAATACCGGATAACTTGCCTAAGTATTAGGTAGGTAAGGCGTATTTTCAGCCGTCATACCTCTGCCAATTTCTGTCTCGCCGCAGTTAATCGATCAGGTTTGAAGGCTAGGACAGCTGTTATACTATACAATCAAGACGTAGGCATGGTGACCGCATTTACAATGTGATGCCTATGGGCCACTTACCACTAGTTCTATCTGGTATTAAGTTTGCCTGGATGGATGAGAGAACTATCATCTCAGTCTTCCGTCCGTGTAGATAATTCGAAAGGGTCAATTGAACCTCGGTTTCGACCTGTCCCTCTTGTTCTTTGGAGGCACCAAGGTCCGACATAACCCAACCTAGACCCCAGTCGATCAGGTATCCGTAAATTAAGGTTCCATATCGATACAAAAAAAAAACGAATACGAAATTAGAAAGCACCTTTCCCAAAATATTGTCACCCATTGTTCTTTTTTTATCCTGTTGTCAGGGTATGAGACCGAAGTTATAAAATTATTGTATTGTCATCGATCCTTGATACATGTGCAAATTTTAAAATTAATCAGAGCTGTGGAAGTCCGTAAAAATGACGTTCAAAGATTCCAGAACATACAAACAAACAAACATAGATAGCAAGTTAGTAAAAGCGCGTTAAAAGCCCTCTCGGCAGTGCTGTTAGTCACACGAAAAACATTATTAATAAAAATAAACTAAGCACCAAAACAATAATTGACCAGCAATGTTCAGCTATTTATAACAGACAAGCATTACCAGTTAACTGAATTGTTGCAATTTTATTTAATACTTAAAAAAATAAGAAACATTTATACTAAAAGTAATTGACTCGAAAAAGTATGTATATTCGGGAGTTTTACAACAAGGGAAGATCTTCTACCGAGCGGGTGAAATCACTCTGTAGACTGTCGACCGATGCCGCGATGTTCCGAAATTAATTTTTCGGTACTTGTAAATATTATTATGCAAGGACTTACTTATCCGACTGCGATGAAGCAACGCAAAGCCGCCGTTGTCCGAAACATATGTTGTCGGATCCTTCGGATCCACTCTCGGTGCTTTTAGGCCTCTCAAGCATCGATCACCGTCCTCGTCGAACTCGTCAAGTAGGACGAAGAGTTCGACGAGCGAACTAACTCATAGACACAGTCCAATGAGTTTCTCGCCGGATCTTCTCAGTGGGTCGCGATTCCGAACCGGTGGTAGATTCTGCGAAGCACTGCTCTTGCTATGGCTGTGGTAGATTCTGAAAAGCACTGCTCTTGCTATGGCTGTGGTAGATTCTGAAAAGCACTGCTCTTGCTATGGCTAGTGTTAGCAAATTCTCTGAGGTTGAGTGAGCTCACCTACCCGTCCGCGCGTAGCTGGAATAATGCCTTAGGCTACCAGCGAATAGGCAGGGAATAAACAAAAATAAAATAAAATTAACAAGCTTAAATAGAAAGCGTCTTTAGCGAAATTCAGGCATCTGTCAAATATCTGGTAATCTATTATGGCTATCGTTATATATATTTTGAAGTGTAATACAATACAAAACAGTATAAGGGTAGCTACTACAAACCAGAACTACGACCGGTGCAAGTATGTGAACAGCTGTCGACGCAAGGGGCGTTAGGAGTTGATGTTAGGAATAGCCCGCAGATGGTGAGTCGAATCGTGAACTATGTACGTACTTTTTTATGTCTGATGGCCCGGAAGCCTTTTTTCACAAGGACAGGTGGGCGAGCAAGGGCTCAGCCAATGTCCGTACTATTTCAGCTATGCACAGTATAATAAAATGTTCGTAATTTTAATGAGATTGGACCTTAAAATAATAAAGAAACAAATTGATTAATGAAATAATTACCGGAATTACAACAAAATAAACACAATACACTGTATAAAATATACTATAATATAAATGTTACTTGAATGTTAGTAAAGGCGTTAACGATGAGAATCTTTGGAGTAATTAACTGAAAGAATATCTCGAATATATCCAAAGTTAATTTAATTTTAAATAATACATCACATTGTAAGAAATAATCTCCATTTCTTATTAAGGAAATGGCTTTATCGATATCAATAAAATAATTACAAAGTGATGTACGTTGCCTGCAAACAATGCTACCGCATTTATCAAAAGTTTTATATGGAACGTTGAAGGAAAAGTTGAATTTTACGAACAAGCCATTGTGTTTTTGCTAAAAATGTATGATCGTGTGATTCACACCTCAAGCTAAAAAGAATTGCTATTTTTTTTATATTCTTTCGCAAAGACAATCATACATAATTTTAATCTGTAATAATAAAATCGTCGAAGATAAGTTACAGTATTAAATTTCAATATGATTGACTTAACAAAGAATTTTTTGATTGGTAATTCAAGTGTTTTTGTGAAGTGAAAAAGTATAGAAAGCTATAATTTCAAAGACTACCCTTTATTAAGAAAGTTCCAGAATTCAACCTTAGGGCATGCGCGAAATAACCCCATGCAAACTGCCTTTTAAACGCGTAGGTAACGTTACAATAACTTTTAAATGTCGTGTATACATTGCCGCTTTAATTTGAAAGCGCGCAAGCAGACAACGCAAACTTGATATATTCAACGTCGATGTACAACTTCCAAATGATTCGTAACCAAAACCGATACGTAAACGTCTACCGAATGTTCTCGTAGCTTCTCGATGGTGCCCGTCGCTGTGCGCTGTATAAATACACTTGGTAGCGGCCGAGCGCCGCAGTATAAATCGAGATACAGTATTGAACGTTACTTCTTTGACGTAAATTTGCGAATACGCGCATCAAAGTGTTTATTCAGTGGAATTGTGTTATATCTTGTGGTCTTTAATTTAATTAAAAGACAATGGAATCACCTGTAGTATTAGACAAGCCGCCGGAGTACCACGGTGATGTAAGTAAATTGTTAAGTAATTCGTTTATTGATCGGGAGAAAGTTTGTTTCGAAAGTATTCTTTGCAAATTTTTGCTCAACTCGAGCGTGGTTGGGAAACGTTTCTTGGAAGAACCATAAATATCCTTCAGTGGAATCAAGGAAAATGTTTACATAAAATATGTAACGCGCTTGTTTAGGTACAAGTTGCAATGACAATGCACAGCCAATTAGTTGTTTGACTTTTGAATGCGAATTTTATGTATTCAGAATTAATTTCTTAATTAAACATAATGATAATGTTATGATGTCATGAGCGGTATAGTAACCGGCAAACTTCGTGAGCAAATGACCTTGACTGCGCAGAACCGAATTTTAGATCACTTTGGTGGTGAGGGTGAGGCGCGACGGCAGGGGAAATCGTATCGAGCGCTTTATTGGTAGATCAGTCGAACCTTGCGTCCCGCACCGCGCCCTCATTCCGCTTGCTCCCAAAAGTACGCTTGCGTACAGTGGAAAGTCTATCGTTATTAATCGTTAAGTTATTTGTTATAATTGCTTGTGGACTTTGTTGCCATTGCTATTTGTTGAGTGTTTGTTGATTTTTTATAAAACATACACTATGCCGTGACAAACTGGTGTAGTACTTAAAAGAAAGGGTAGAAAATTTGTGTACGACGTATATTGCTTCATTATAAAACAGGGGAAGAATGATATGGAAAAATTAAAACAGACTTCGGAAGCAACAAAAACATCAGTGAGTACTGTTAGGTGCATTATTAACGAAGCTAAAGGCTCTGGCTTGCTCGCCGTGTTTCGGACTCCGGGTAAGAAAAGATCAGGGAAGAAGAAAGTTACCGGAATGGATAGTTTCGTTCAATCTGTAATAAAAAGATGTAATCATAATAACTACATAACAAGCAGCGAAACTCCGTACCGTAGAAAGGCTTCGAAAAATTTAAAGAAGATATAAATTTTAATGGCTCGGAATGAAGCTTACGACGAATTATGAAAGAGCTAGGCTTCAGATGGAAAAAAAGAACAGAAAATAATCGGAAGCTGGTAAATGAAAAAAGTAACATTCGATTACTACGAATCGAATATCTTCAAAAAATAATTAATTATAGACAAAAAAGAAGACCGAATCGACCGAGTTGTAAACTACGCCGATGAGCCCTATGTCGACTCATCACGATGATAGCGACTCGGGTGATGAAAACAGTGATGATGATGATGGTCAAGATTATGATAACGAAAAAAAAATTACAAATACCAGCTTCGCTTTAACTGAACCAAGACCTGGCAACAGCTCTAGTTTTGACTTAATAGAAGGAATATCTATTTTACCCCAAGATTAAATTATTACAATTATTAACCTACATGTTTTGTTGATGTTCTAATAAATATATAAATAAATACATATGTTGATTTTAATAATTTAATAGCATTATGACGCAGAGTAAGTAATGTTTATGCACGTGAGTGTACCATGCGCGAACTTACCCCCACTACGTCAACAAATGCTCAAGAAGTTTGCCGGCTATTATACTAGGAATTTATAACTTTTTTGTCAATTAAGCCATTGGAAACATTCCAAAACTGTAATGGTCACAGCCATGAGAAATTTGCCTACAATGTCACTTTCTCAAAAATAAACATTAGGTCCATTGTCCATAAACTAAAGACCAAGAATTAGAAATTCGAAATTTTAAACTTATGTTTTTTTGTACAATTAATTGATTTGTTCGAGAACAATTTAGGGATGTTAAATTCTTAACTTGTTAAAACTTATTATTAACTTGTTGAAATATTTTTGTATATTTACTTATATGGGGCAGTTTAGTTCAAGCGAACGCTTGCATTGGCTATGTCTATATAGGTAGGATCCACTGCAATTCGTAGAACAAAAATCAATAGCACATGAATTTGCTTTACTGTTTTTTTTTTGGGGTAGATAGAGAGTGCGTTCAAAGTGCACCGTACTGTTTATAGCTACTAAACTTATAATATTATGCATGCTTTACACTTGTACAGCTTTGGATTTATGTAATTATAACAATTTTTATAATAAGTGTGTTTGTTAGTTCGTCTTTCTTTCACGCGATAAACCAACGAATCTGTAGGATATTTCGTCAAAATGAAATACAAGCCGGTGAAAAACTTATACGTAATTTAAAAGTTTTCTGTGTGGATATAAAAAAATTCACGTGTTTCATTCTAGTTTCATATAAATTCTTCATCATTTTACGATACTTCAAAGATATGTTGCATTGTATGTTTATTTTCTCTTCGTTCGGTTTTGTTTTCAATAAATTTGCCCGTGTTTAACATTTCAACGTCACGGCCAGCCGTGTCGCCTGACTCACTGGCGCCTGCACAATATCGAAACCTCCTTTAATAGGTCATTTATTTATTTAATAACGTATGTATTGTTTGAAATATTCTGTGATTTGTGTTACGTTTGAAATGTCAGTTGAGTACTTGTGGGCTGATTTGTATTGTCTATAGATTTTAAAAAAAATGAGGATTGTGCTCTCTGAGTCCGATGTTTTGGATGTATTATAGATACTCAATAAATGTAAAGTATCATAAAAGAGGATGTATGTTTGTAATTACATAATACAATTATTTTTATACGTGTATATGACGTAATCAGCAAAAAAATGATTAATGTTTGCGGTCTTTTGTGAAACATAATTTTCTATATACCTACTATTATATACAAAGGATTCAATAATCAAAATCGTATATACTCGTGCGTCATATTTCAAACGGACACGAGTTCATTTACCTTTATAGCGTCTGGAGATAGTCTCTCTCTTACCCATCTGTTTCGTCTTATCTTCTAAGTGCATATCCAGTCTCGAATACCCGCATAGTAATTACAGTATTCATTGAGCGCCGGAAGTTAATGCTGCCATTAAATATTACGTAACGTTCAATTGATTTGGAACTTCAATTTATTGTATCGGATACGTACGAATATATTAATAAAAGTCCTACATGTTAATATGCAAATTTTTTAAACGTGTTCAAAGAGGTCTTGCGCTTGCTAGCCTATTTATAATTTTAGGATACTTGACAGTTTGTCTTGTTATAAGATAATAAAGTATAGTGACTCTTAAAATCTCCAACGTCGCAATAAAAACGACAGATTTATACTTGGTTTTTATGTCATTTATAAATTTTGTCAGTCAAGTTCACGGACGAACGGCGAATGTTGGACCACGATTTGTAAACATTCGGCTAACTTACGACGATGATGTCACTTTATCTTAGACGGTAAATGTTTCTTTTATGTACCTACAACGTCGAACTGAGAATCGAACCCGCAGTGCGTCACACGCCGCCGCCCCCAGCGATCGGTCGGGTCCTGTGCTTATATGGTAAACCAGTTTCGAAAATAAATAACCTAACCTACGTATTATTTGTAACGACACCAAAATGAGTACGGTAGGATGTGGTCACACAATCGTCCTACGCATTATGATGATCCGCTCATGTGTCGTCTCTAATCGATCCGATTAATCGATGAAGTGACACACAAATCGATTATTGTAACTGTATCGGTGATGTGAACGAGCATCTGGTCGCCACAATTGGCAGGATTACAGAGTGGGTGCGAAACTAGAGGTAATGGTCGTGTTTCAAACGACAAAACATATTAGCATGAGTCGCAGGCGCTAATCGTTATTAGAAGCAAGCCACTTGTGATAGGACTGACTATGTTGTATCATTTTATGATATTGAAGACTGTCAATGACTGGACAATATAATGTTAAAAAAGGTTTTTAATCTGATGAAGAGATTGAGTATTTTTATTTAAAATAGTGGCCCGCTCCATCTTCGCTTGGGTCTTTAATAAAAAATTCAAAATTAACAATCATCAAAATCAACATCATACACACACATCAACCCTTCTATTTCCGTCAGATAGTTTTGAATAACCTTGGGTTACATTATTGGAGTTTTAGCAAGGATCCCTATTTAAAAAAAAAGAATATAGCCTATCTCACTCGGGGGTAGTGTAGCTTCCAAACAGTGAAAGAATTTTTCAAATCGATTCAATAGTTTCGGAGCCTATTCAATACAAACAAACAAACAAATCTTTCCTCTTTATAATATTAAGTATAGAAAATTAAAGTCAAAGTACATATATGGCGTAAATGGTAAATAATTTGAATGTAAAATACCTGATCGTTGTGAATAAAGACACGCTCCTCTATTTCATCATTCAAAGAAGTTTCCTTCAAACATAGCAAAAAGGCGCGGATTGCAAGGTCATAAAACTATTTTAGCGAAAGTTATAATACATTATATGAAAGGCTTCTGATGTTTATATTCGTTCAGGTTGCAGTTTTGTTTCGATAATATTAGAACGGGTTTTCAACGGAATTCGTTACCTGTCTGTCTACCTTTGGCATAACCAAAAAAGCGCCGCGGAGGTCAGTGACTCGGAACGCGTCATGAATGTACACCGAATATAACAAAAATTTTACGTCTTCAATAACTGTGACGTTGACACGGAGTCCAATAATATAATTGATAGGAAAAATTAATACGAATAAATAAAATTGTTTGATAATTCTTTACGATTCCATGTAACAGTCAATGATATCTTTGACGGACGATAAGCACTTGCGTTCGTGCACTAATCGTGTTTATGAAAGCGTTTATGTTTTATCCTTGAATACATCTTAAATTTTTATTTTACTAGCCGGACTCGCCCGCTTCGCTGGGCATTTAAAATTAAAATTATTATTTATTGTCATTATTAGTAGTGAATCCAACGCTCATATAAATATTAGCCTATCCATTAAGTACATGTATTTTCTATATGGATACCAAGTTTCAAGTCAATCGGATGCACGGTTCAGTGTTTATAACGGAACATCCGTAAAAACCATTGTAGATTTATATATTAGTATAGATTTAATATGTATTAAATAGTATTTTTCATAAATCGCTTGAAATTTGTATCGTAGAAAATTAAAGCCTATAAATAATTAAATAATTCGTAC